CGCTGGGCGAGCTCCCTTGTTGCGTCGCTGGAGCCACGCCCGATAGACCGCATGGCACGCGCGATCGCCAAGCCGATGGGTGACGCGCCGGCGTGCGGCTACCTCGTCGAAGCCGTCGACGCACCAGCCCGGCCCACGTTCCTTGTGACGAGCCACGGCACGCTCCAGGACATGTCCAGCCGCCTCACGCAGACGCTACCAACGCTGCCATGGCTTCGTCTCTTACTCTTGCACAAATCGACTGGCGACGACATTGCTCGGTTGGTCGACGTCTTGCCGAGGTGCCAGCGACTGAGCCATCTCGTGCTCTCAGGACCCGGTCTCACGCCGACGGTGGTCGCGGCCCTCCTGCGACGGCTGCCACAGTGTCCTTCCCTCCGATGGCTCGGCCTTCAGAACCCTACCTGCACGAGTAGCGAGCTGATGGCAATGGATGGCTGGCGGCACTGTTTACGCCGCCTCGAGCACATGGAGCTATCGTCGAGCCAGTGGAGCCTTCAAGACAAGGCGGTCGTGCTGAACGACGCGCAGCGCCACATGAAGGCAGCAACCGTCGTGATCCACGTATCGCCGCCTACGAGTCGCTGGGGACTCGACCGACTCTTTCCATAGCTGTCGCGGGCTATGTCGCTGTATGTGGTAGAGATTTGGCTCGTTGTTGGTTGTCGAAACAGATAGTGACCGTAAGACTCACATCGTAAAGAACTTGAATGGATTCATGGATCGTAGGGAAGGAGGTCCTTTAAGAGAGCCATCTGAACGTCGCGCGGTGCCTGGAGAAAGGCCAGACGTCGGAGGTCGTTGCGTCGCAGCTTGTAAACCGCGTCAGCATACGCATACAGACGCGGGACGAGGACGGACGACCAGAGGTCCCGGCGTCGCGGGCAAAGGCATGTTGTTGCGGCCGAGGACGAAAGCGGGTACGTGTCCAGTTGAATGCGCGTCACACGGATCGACGTCTGGTCGCTGTGCAGGCACTGGACCATGTCGCCTTGACGGACTTGGAGCATCTTCATGTACACCGCCATCTGAATGCAGTCGTACAAGGGCACGGGGTCTCGGAACCGATGCATCCTACTGGCGTGGTCAAGACGACGATCGTTGCATTTAAGAGACGATCATACCGGTTCTTGACCTCGACAACGATCGGCTCGGTACTCCACTCGTCGTTCTCGTCAATGTGCAGTACCTCGGTCGTGCCGTCGACCATGCCGCAGAGGCTAAAGTAATGCGCCTTCGTTGACAGGTCTCGGTCCGTATCGTCAATTTCGTCGTCGTTGTCGTCGATCGCCTCGGTGGGGTTGAGATTCAGATTTAAGTCGACGGCTTTTGGTCGCTGCATCTTCCTTTTTGAGATCGCGAGCCGCTCGATGCAGCCTTCGAGGGCTTCGGCGCGGGCGCAGGCGCAGTCGGCGTCGACCAGCACCGACACTTGGTCCAAGTCTGGCAGCAGGACGTAATAGTACGTGTCGTTGGAGGCCGAGACCGTGAGCCTGGATGAGTCAAACCATTTAGCAGCTGTCCGTGCAGATGAGAATCCGCCTACCCCGTGCGCGCTTCGTACGTCTACATGACATTGTGCATCTCCGCTGTGTGACTAGAATGGTTCCATACCGCAAGGGCGATGTTTTCGTTGCGCTTGCCCACGTTGACGCGAAGCTTCTCGTGGAGCCCGTCCCGCAGCGCCTTGGCTTCAATGGCGCTGAGCTTCTGCGCTTGCTGAGCGCGCGCTGCAATGGCTCCGACATTAGCAGCAAGGTTGTTGGCCGTCGTGATGTTGGCCGTCGACGTCTCGGTCGCCCAGCCCAGGATCTTGGCAAGCGCTGCGGTGGCTCCCGACCTGCGCATGAGGTCGTCGAGCTCATCGTCCTTGGACACGAGCTGCAAGCCAAGGACGCGCGCGTCCAGCGCTAGAAGCGGCTTGAGGTCTTGGTAGACGTACTACACGACAATGCGATGGAAGCCATACAAGAGGAGGACGCTGCCGACCTCGAGAAAGATCTCGACAGCATCGCCAAATTCGTGCAGGCCCACGACGTTAGCAACGCGAGACGCCGAGAGACGAAGCTTGGTCGACGCGATGGCGGGCGCAAGCGCTGCGTACTCTTCGCCTGTGGCCATGGTCCCTGGCAGGCTCGCGGCTATGGTCGTTGCTGCCGGGCTGGCCATCGTCTGCTGCTGGGATTTTCCACTTGCATCCGGATTGGCCGGAACCACGACCCAACGCTGCATGATTGGTGCATTGTAGAAAAGTTGCGTGCGATGAGCCAGCTGCAGCAGCTTGCGTGGAATGGCCTGCGCATCGGCGCCGGCGCCTACTGCCTCAAGACGTACGTCGGCGATGTCATCCTCGGCCTCGGGCCGTCCATGACGCCGACGATTCCGGATGGCACCGTCTTGCTCGTGGACCGCCTCTCGCTGCGCTGGAGGCCCGTAGCTGCCGGCGACGTCGTCCTCGCCTACTCGCCCGTCAAGGCCGACGCCTCCATGTGCAAGCGTGTCATCGCCATGGTATGCTTCGCAGCATGCCATCGCTAGTAGTTTCGATCGTGTCATGATAAAGCACGTAGGAAGGTCAAGTCGTCAAGCGCCGGCCCGTCGGCGACGCCACGGAGCCCGACACGATCACAGTACGCCCGATCCTTGTCGCTTTCCAGCGCTACCATCGAATGCATAGATTCCGCCGGGGCATATCTGGGTCGAAGGCGACAACTCGGGCATGTCGGTCGACTCGCGCCACTTTGGGCCCATCCCGCTCGCCCTCGTCTTTGGCCGCGTTGCGTTCACGGTACAAACCCGCCTTTGACGGCAGCCCATCTCACTTGACTCTGTAGCTCTGGCCCAGCTGCGCCCGTGTGCGCTAAGCAGCCTTATTAAACGAAGATGACAGATGTGCAGCATCGATATCTGTTCTTTGCGAGCTACCTTCGCGCTCGCTGTGGCTCGTCGGAGGAGTGAAGGAGAGACCACAGCGCTAAGACGTTCGTTTCCATGGTTGCCTAATCTCGATCTGTCCCACGAGCTGCTACTTGGTCCATAGTCATGTAAAGGAAGCATGTGGAAAAACTAAAATGATCTTTTCGACTAAAAGGCCATCAGCTTCGCGAGAGCGTCGCCGAAGATCCCGCGCTTCACAATACGACAATCTTCAGAAACATAACGAATGTCAAGTAGTACATACCTCTTCGTTCGCGTCGTCCTCGGCCTTCTTGTGGCGGGTACGTCGCGGTCGCCTGGCGCTTCTTCGCGCGACGGCCATAGGCGCTGCGAGCTCGGTCGAAATCTGTGATTGGTGAGATACATCATTCACATATGCAGAGAGGAAACGTACGGTCGTCGAGCACGCTCTTGAAATGCTTGAGGTCGTCGATTTGGCGCGTCTTGTCCTTGTCTTCGATCGACTGTTCGGCTTGTTCGAGGTCGCGGTGCCCGTTGATGTTGAGCATGCTGCTGGGCCCTTCGACCTCAATTCGGCTTTTGACCGCCGCCAGCTCAATTTTCGTATCCATGAAGCTAAATGAGGAATGATTAGCACCGTGTCCGAGAGTACAAGATAGAAGTACCTCACGCGCTCCTCACGGTATCGCGACTCGATCTCTTCACGCTGCAGGTGCTGTCGCCGGCGCTTGGAGTCACACTCTGTCAGTGCCCGCCGCATGAAGCTAGCATGCCCGTCGACCAGGCCACGTGCTTCGTGCTCGTCGGCGAGCTGCTGCTATAAAGGAGCGTGCTCTCCTGGACGTCGATCTTCATGCATCTGTTTCGCGACAGGAGGCTCATGTACCTGGAGCGTCGTGGCCTCGTCCGGGGTCGGCGTCATGCTTGTGGCCATCTTCGACTACATCTCTTAAGCTGCCAGACGATCGAAAAATGATCTGCCGAAGAAACCTCGTTTTCTATTTTCAGACCATTTATCTATCTTTTTGTCTGTGGTATTTTAGAAGCATACAATTGTAGATAGGTTTGATTGGCATAGAGTGTTGGTCAAGATCGCGAAAAGATGCCAGTGGAGCTCTTTGGCGGCAAAACTTGAGCTCGAGCGTCGCTTCTCGTCCCAGCACCTAATCACTAGTCGCGCCACCGCACGCCAGGCTTTGTTGGCGCGGGACTCACTGCGGGATGTCTGCAGCATCACGCTGCGAGATGTGCAGACAAGCGACGTGCGATCGAGGTCCATGAACACGCATGGGCTCGTCGTCTCGGCTGTGAGGTCATGACGGCTGTTTAGGACCATGTCAGCGTCGCCAAGCAGCCACGTACCATAGGTGATGCGAAGCGCTTCCGACACTCGCCGTCCATGAGCTCGTGGATGTCCCGGGGCGCGAAGACATCGACTTGACCTTTCCCAACGAGGTCCTGCTACATGTTGTCACCGCTTTCCTAAATCTGCTCTCCGCCGGCTCGCTCGGCATCACTACTGTGTGTCTGATTTCGTGTCGACCCGTCAACATCGCAGTTGAAGGCTTTGCGCTGCAGAGTCGCTCAACGATGACAGTACGTGTGTCATCATCATTCAACCGTGTTGAAGTTGTCAATCGCGTCGGCTGCTGCGACGTGAACTGTCATGGACGCACACATCGAGTCAATCGGTCCAATCGGTCCCGTGGCCGACACTCGAAACTGACCTGTGTGTAAGAACGCCACCTGGAGGACATGCACGTGGATCGGATCAAGCACGGTGTACTCCAGCGCGCCTGCCAGCAAGCACGTCGCGGCCGATACTGGTTGGTTTGTCATCGCATCCGCCACGGTGATTGTCACAACCAGCTCGGGATTCACACTGCTTTCGACTGACGTTGCGACGCGAACCTCGTAAAAGGCCCCGATTTTCCATGCACCACCTGTGTCGGTGGTCAGCGCAATGGACGCGGGCGCCTCGGGCACCGGTGGTCGCTCGGGTACCAGCAGCGTGCCGCTGGCGCTCCCCTCGGTCGTTTCCCACGGCAGATGTTGGCACGCGGGGGACGGCAACGCCACGTTCGTGACACTTTGCGGCGCAATGACCGCTCCATTGATACGGAACGGAACGTCGGCAGCATTCCAGACAGCGACGCCACCGGGCGACGGAGCGCCGAGGACCGAGACACCGGCGCGCACGTGCACGCGGAGCACACTTGTGCTTTCGCGGTACCACGCGGGGTCTCGCCCGCGGTACAAGGCGCGCAGCTTGACGTCGACAACGTCGGGCCGCGTCGACTCGATACGCAATGGCAGAAGCAGCGTCTCTTGAGGCGGCAGCCGTCGCTAGCCCATACAATGTCAAACCTGCAACATGACATGTATAAAGGCGTACGTCCGAGTTTAGTGCGACGGCGTCCCAAGCAATGGTAAAATCAGAGATGGCAACGCGACCCGGGGCACCGAGAGCGCGTATGGTCGTGGCCGGGGCATGGAACCCGTCGGTCTGCCGGTGCACCGACAAAAGCAGCGTCACGTCGTCCATGCTTTGGGCCGTTGATGCGTTGCGCAGCGAGATGGGCAGCACGCGGTCTTCGTTGGCGAAGAGCGTCACGGGTCCATCGGCGCCTTTCCAGTCGGCCAGCGCGATCGCATCGACGACCTGCAGGCCCACGGGCCGGGGCAAGCGGTACCTAATGACAGTATCACTGAGTCGTCCTAAGCCATCGAATCAAGCGCACTGGAGCGTTTGCTGGGGCAAGACGCAGTCGATGCCTTCGAGAACAAGGTCGCCGACAGCTTGAGGGCGCAGCGTCAAGAGCACCGAAACACGCTCTTGGCGCGCTGTGAGACTCGCGGCGGCGGGGTAGGCGAGCATGTGGCCGCTGCAGTACGCTTGCAGCTGCGGCAGCACCAGTGCAATGTCCAGTGGGTTGGCTGCCTCGACGTCTATGCCCACGAGATCACCGAGCGCGTAGACGTACGATTCGGTCGTTGCCGACGCCGTCGTTTTTGCCTCGAACGGGTTGTACATGAACGTCGCTTTGGCCGCGACAGGGTCGACGAGGCGGCGAACCTCGGACGCGGACACGAGCGGGCGTGGCGCCAGCGGCGTCATCGAGCGAACATCCAGCAGCCGATCCAGTAGTGGGACGACCGTTCGGGTGCGGCTCACAGAGTCCGACTGCAGTAGTGCCCAGCACGCGCCTTGCCACAATGCCACGTCAATGTCCGAGTGCAGCTCCAAGAACGGCGCCTCGGCATCCGCGCTCTTGGCGGTGACGTCGACGCGCCGGTGGTTTTCTCTTGCGCTGTCAGAGACGCCAAAGCTCGTTGGGACGTTGAGGACCGCCGTCATGAGCTGCCGTGGCGTCGAGAGGAGGCGCGGTGTCGTTGCGGCCGCCATCGTTGTCGGCAGATGCTTGACGCCAAGAGCTCGCGTTCGCCATCGG